TGTAAACTGATAAGTTTGTCTCTAAGTTACCTGAATACAGAGAGATGTAATATATGACTACTTCACCCGCTTGCTAGCAGTCACATACATACGAAGAAACTTTATCAAATTAGTCCAATTCAACAGTGGGAATAAACCTTATGCAGAAAAAAATTTAATCGCATCCAATTTCTCTTACATGTATGTACAGCACTTAAAGTCAGCGTCGTGGCAGCAGTAACAATAGCCGGTTGGAATACAACGTTAAGATGATAATCTAAATTTTAGTAACAAGCAATGGCGTGGATACAGAGATTAATGTGTATACACAAGATGCACCTAGACAATTTTACACTTTTTACCATGTAAAAGTTTCGATTTTCTTCCTATCATACGTACGTGTACGCATACAAATCCCCAATCTAATCCATGTACATCATGACCTAGATGCCTAAAAGAATACAACAGTAGGGCAAGCTAACCGGTAAGCACATACATGCATACACATACACATACACACAGAAGAAACATAAATCTATGTCCTTAAAGGTCTAAAATCATATAATGTACGTTTCAGAGATAACTTGGTTTAATCCAAGTCTAGATAAACAAGTGGAAAAGAACTTTTGAATCCACTTAGCACGTTTTTTCTTCAGCCAATACTAACAGTTTTTGTTTCTATTCTCCAAAAAAATAAACCTCGAAAAATTAAAAGCAATGAATACAATGTGGAAACAGAACAAAGATGCATTCAATATTACTTATCATCAAAATTACCATACTATTCTATATAAGAACATATCAGTCAATAAGTAAGGCATATTGGAATTGTTAGAGGTTAGAGAATAAATAAATGGATGCCTAGAATTTTGAATCATAAAAGTTAATCTAGTAATATGACCTTAAAACTGCATTGATGAAGATTCAGCAAAACATATTATTATTATTATTACTTTTCCCTCGGGTTCCTAATGGAACATAAGGCTTCAGTAGCACGTCTCCATTCCACTCTCTTCTCTGCAATCTTTCCAACCTCGCTCCACCACTGCCTACTAGCTCTCATAACTTCCTCACATGATCTCCTCCATGTCACCCTCACCACGGACGCCCAACTTGTCGTTTCCCATCTGGGTTTCACTCGACAACTTGGCCTGGCACGTGATGTCTCCAAATGGTCTTCTCAGTGCATGCCCAATCCATCTCCACTTCCTTCCACTGCATATTTATTCAGCCATAGGTTGTTGGTTAGTTGTCGCCCAGCCAGAGTTCCTTGTTGCTTATTCTTTGAGGCCATCTGATCTGATCTGATCTGATCTGATCTTCAGTATCGAGCCAGTGTAGGCAGCAGTTGTTGATGAATATCTGTAGTTTGTTGGAAATGCTTTTCATAATGCGTCAAGTCTTTCAACCATATAGAAGCACTGATTTGACTGACATTAGTGTTGAGAATCCGGATGTTGTTCACGCTTTATGCAGAGTGCAGAAGATCACCACACTGATTTCAGATTATTGAAAGCCTGTCTTGTTGTCTTTCGGATCCTGTCTGCTTTGACGTCCTCGTCTGTGCATGTGCCGCCTGTAGTTGAAACGATGCTTCCTAGGTAGATGATGATAGAGGCTACTTCCTGTAATTTTCTCCCGTTGATGGTGATTGGAGCTTGTTGTTGTGGATGAGGTTGGCGTTGGTTGAGTATCATCATTACCTCTGTCTTCTCTACGTTCACTTGAAGTCCGGTCTTCGTTGCCTCACCTCTCCTGTCAACTTGTTAGTTTTTGCCTGTAGATCTTCGAGTTTGTGCGACACTAGACACAAGTCACCGGCGAAACCTAGATCTTCTAGGATCTTTTCTTGATCCAGATAAGATAATAGGCAAAACTAAATCATCTTTAAATGTTATAATGTTTGAATGAAAAATTAGAGAATCTAAGAGGCATTAATGAGGTCAAACAAAGACAAAATATCAACATGTGAATCCAATAACTGTGTGAAATATGCCTATTAGGATATGAAAGCAGAACAAGTATTTCAGTGAAGAATCTCTTTTCAGTGATTTCATTTTCAAAGCCGTACAGTCGCAAATTTATACATTTTCTTAGTATAAGGATTTGGATAGTCAAAAACGGTTTGTCAAGCATGGCAACATAATTAGTGTCAATAAATGAGTTATGCAAGATGAAGAGTTAATATTAGGCAGGCTATCCTTTAGTCTCGAACTGAGCATCGGCCGACCTGTATTTGCAGACATATTTTTGGCAAAATTGGAAAATAATCCTTTGAAAGATCAAATTGCTAATATGGAGTTGTACTTTCGATACATGGATGATACTTTTTTAGTCTTTGATAGGTGCATATGTATTGATTCCTTTCTGAACCATTTCAACAGTGCTCATCTATCAATTCATTTTACATATGAAAATGAAATCAATGATTCGATACATTTTCTTGATGTCCTAATGATAAGAAACAAAGATGGCTACATACTGAGAAGTATACTGAGAAAACTAATATCTAAGGCACTGCATACGCACTTTCTTAGCATAGTACCGATGAAGTACAAACGTAATCATGTGCCTGGCTTATAGAGTAAGATCAATTTGTTACAAAGAGCGTATGGAAAAAGAACTACTGTGTATACGTGATATTCTAAGTGAAAACGGATATCGGGACAAATTAATCAAAACTAACACCAACTATATTGGTTCTTAACAAGAATTGATGGAAAAGAAGTCTTTGTTTCTGCGATTACAATTCAAGGGAGATGCTGCAAGTGACATTTGATCACAACACCTAGTTAGAGCAGTCAATAGAACGTTTTATACAGATCAGCATTGCATATCATTCAGCAGTCGGCCAATGCTCAATCCAAGACTAAAGGATAACCTACCTAATCTTAGATTTTCATCTTGAATATATAAGTTTAACTGTTCCTGAGAAACTAGTTACATAGGGCATACGATTAGGCAGGTGCATCTCCGGATACGAGAGCATCTACCAGCTTGGTTAGGAAAGAGAGAAAGGAGAGTGAAGAAAAGTCCAGTCCTAGAGCATCCAGTCGACACACAGCATCACATGGATGCTAATAAAGTATTTAGTGTCATTCATCGTGTCCCAAAAACGACACCACGTGTAGCTTATCAACGCCTGCTCAACATAGTGGAATCTGTCGCAATAAGACTGATCAAGCCTGAACTCTGCATTCAGAGAGAACATGTCCAAGCGTTACTTCTCCCGTGACCTGCAGTTAACTAAAGACCGCTCCTGCCATCTTTTTGTTCACCACTATATCATTCTTCTATATCATCCCAATATCGACTAATTTACAAAAGATAAATCGATTTCCTTACAATCTCTAGATCTCACTCCATTTTGATAGTGTGAATGCCATAATAACATGGCTTGTTTTTACGCTGTACAAATGCATTTTATAACTGTAGAACCTGAAGAGAATTTATTGAAAAGAATATTCTTGGTTCAAATTGTTGATTTCTATAAATATTATGCGAATCTTAAGTTGTTTGAAATCTAACAATAAATAAACTGTCATTAAAACCCAAAAAACTCAAAACTGATGAGTAGTGAATATTAATCAGAACAAGTTTGGAGAAGTTTCGTAACATGACGATGATATAATTGGAAACTGAGTTGTGATCAGGCAGAGCATAGCAACAAAATGAGTAGCAAATTACTCAAGAAATAAATAATGTCAACACAGAAAATTGAAAAGAAAAAGGAAGAGGGGGGGGGAAGAGACTGAAAACTAAGACCCTGAGAGGAGATGGTGGTGAACAATCTTTTTTTGCGTATATAGTTCAGGTCTCTCCATATGGATGGCAAGAGTTACGGTGATGCAGAGAATAAGATGATATACAGCCTTTAGGAGGTTTTTTTCACTTTATAAATGACTTTGAACGAGGAGGTTCTTGAGATAGGATGATTCATGTTCACGATGTGACTCCATTGTTCCCTCTTTGTGACCACGTGGGATAGCGTTCTCGAACCCTTTCCAAAAACAGTCCTATCGAACGACCTATATACCTGGCTCTACAAGAGTAGGTGAATTGGTTTTTTGATTTTAATGACAGCTCATTTATTGACCCTAATTGTGTTGCCATGCTTGACAAACCGTTTTTAACCATGAAATCCTTATACTAAGAAAACGTATAAAATTTGCGACTGTACGGCTTTGAAAATGAAATCACCGAAAAGAGACTCTTCACTGAAATACTTGTAATTCATTAACTATCAGTTTCACAGCTGTATACATAAAAGAACGGAGCAAACTGGTTTACACTACATTCTACCCTCACTAGCTGTGATAAAAAGTGCAAGTCAACGAAGTCAAATAAAGTCTAAAAACAGGAATGAATAACTAAAACGACCATATACATGAAATAAAGATCCTGATTGACATACTACTTCTTCATGAACAACAAAATTCGTATAAAAAGTAGTTAGATGTACTATCACATAGCTCTTCTTTTAACTAGTTTCCACTGTCTAGTCAACTTCAGTTTCCTTTCTGTATGACAAATCATCTGCTTATCATCAATCACTATCACCCAAATTCATTACAATGAGATAGGATTTTATTTTCACGACTAATTAATAACATAGTCGATAACTTCAAGAGTTTCTGGCGTTAAAAAAACCTTGAGGAAGAATAAACGATTAACAAACAAATTCTGATTCAACCAGCTCTAGTTAATTAGGAGAGTGGATGGGATAAGTCCTTAGTCAATAGATTCATAATGCTAACCAAAGAAAATGTATCGAATAACAGAACTAGTGGATAAGTGCATTTAAAACCAGCTTAGAGCGGTACATCTAAGCAGGAATGAATTAACAAGATCAATGAACGATGCAGGTAAACTCACTATAGAAATATTGTTTTTTTGTGGATGACAATAATAATAGCCGAAAAAAATTGGTGCACTAGAGATTACATAACATTTAATCCAATAAAAAGTATAGATAGTCTGAATGTATTACTTGAAGGAATATTTATAATTCTCACACCTACCTTTCGACGCGATCGCTTTGAAAGCTTTTCTAGTTCACATGTTGCTCGCTGCAGTTCACTTTTAGCTCGACGCCACTCTTTTCCATTCTCTTTATCTAACTGAACTACTGTACGCTTCCATTCTTCGAGTCGATCAACAAGTGGAGCAGTTAAGCATTCAGTTAGTTGACTAAATCGAAAAAATGGAATCAAACAAATTTCGTTTAGAGAAGTTCAGTCTGTTTCAAATATCTTAGATACAATTAGTAAAGTATATACAAACTTAAGCACTTAGATATACTGTTTTATCTTAAATGGTGTCTGACGATTGTGGGTCAACTATGGTATTACGAAAACAGGCTTCTTAAAAACATCTCCCGGCAACTCTGTTTTTTGTAGCGTGCTAATTTAATGAAGTAATTTCATCAAAACTAGTACACTAACCTATGAACTACACCGATCATTTCACAGGCAACCGAGGTGTTCACACCACAGTAGGTGATGGAGCAGCTTCAAATCTATATTCCGGTGATTGAAACATCAGTACCAGACACCATCATTTTAGACTATGATTTTTTTTACAGATTGCTTGATTCCAAATGTTTATCACAGACGATAATTGGGTAGAATGAATATAAAGAATGAAGTTGTAACTGATAATGTATATTATTTGAGTTCCACATTTCATGATCGAGAAGTGGTCTGAAAGCAAGTTTTCATCCTTGCAATGATCAAAGGTCACTGATGTGTACATAAAAGGATCATATGTTCAATACACAAAAAGTATGTACAACTGAACAACAATACACAGATTTGTAGTAAACTACGTGCCACATCTACCATGACGGTTGTGACTACCTACAATCTCGGTAGCTGAAGTGGAATTTTTATCTTTGAGCCAACAACTGAAAGCCTAGTGCTCGATCTAATAGACAATATCTTTTATAATCAATTAAAGAAAAATTCAACTCATAGACCGACAAGACGGAATTCATTCTGATATGAATACTTAGATTTTTAACTCAGAGTTGACAAATTAAATAGGCTTAACCTATGAAACTTAGAAACAAAAGATCCTAGGAAAGTATACCAAAGCAAAGCCTATCGAACAACAACCTACATTCCTGAATACTGAAGAAAGCATCAAACATAATATTTTACTCCCAGCATGAGGTACTGGAGAATTATGTAGTCTAAAAAACCAATATTACTAAAAATACGACTAATTATACTGTCATGTTTTGGTTGTTAACTTTGCCGTTCCAATTATTGGCATGAGTTGTTTGTTTTGTGAATAGCATTCTTCAGATTCGATGTATGGAGCAATAAAGATTAATGACAAGCAACCTGCAGCATACATTTTCATTATACACATAAAATGATAACTTTCACCGTAAATAAACAACAAAACTTTCCTTTATACAAACATGGGGATAATAAAATAGAAAAGATAATCTGAACACCAGAGAGAAATGTACCTGTTGAAAGTGCGTAACCTAGACTCCAATCCTCTTTCACGTAAACATAATCGAGTCATTGAACTGCCCAGTTCTCTAAGGCCACAATTACTACTGTATGCACAATCAGCAATCTTCTGAAATGCCTCCAGGAATCCACCGATACATTGGATGACAGTTCTTGAAAGACATGAAAACAAACTTTACAGTTAGTACTTTCTTTTAAGGAAGGCTTGTATAAGCGTGAAAAAATACACTGTGAAACATACTATTAGAGATAAATAATTAGGAACAAGCGAAACTAATTAGACGGTTTAATCAGGTAGATAGATGTAACCTACGAGTTAGATAAACATTATGTTTTTGGACCTAAAACATGATACTATTCAATTATCCAGACCAAAGTAGGTGAAATCGGGTTTGAATCCAAGATCCATTGCTTGAAAGTCAAGTGCTTCAGCGGATAAGCCGAAATTCCACGATTTTCCTCATAGTTTACAGTATGACTCTACAGTGTGGTCAACAGACCACAGAAAAACCCCCGATTTGTTAGTCTTTGTTTGCTACTGATTGCTTATTAGTATATAAACAGAAAACGGAATTCCTTTGACCATAGGCTTCTGACCAACTAATCTGAAAGACGATTGACGCTGCGTTAACACTTTTTGTAGCTGAGTGGTCTTTTGCACACCAACTGGTTAGGCAAACAGATAGGTTTGGAATTGAATATGGATACTGCAAACCGGTGACAACCAAGTACCAATAACAACACAACAACGTACTCACCTACCACATGCACATTCGTAGATCAAGCAATGAGTCACCTACTGTGTGAAGGTGATACTACCTGGTTGCTCAAACTTCGGTAGGTAGAGCAGGGCTCGAACCTGTGATCCAATGGTTGGTAGTCATCTTAAACCACTGAGTCACAGCTCCATACAAGTACATACTTCATGGTTATATCAAACAGTAAGTATGTGACCAGTTAACAAATAAAGTTGAAAATATTTGATAGGAAAAAGTACATCGGTTGTAAACCACTTCCACTCGACTTTATTCAGTATTTGGGCGAAATTTCGAAACAAGCTAAAGCATCCTAAGAAATAATACTGCCAAAACAATCATCAGATTAGCCGCAAATACTCACAACTAATGACATTATAGTTGGATTTACTGTAGCGTGTGTGGAGACAGTCGGCGTAGAATATCTGCTAGTGAATGCAATGACTGAAAGTAGATAGTGTGAGGGAATAAACAATCCGAAGATAAAGATTAGCGTGAATATTCAAGCCTTAGAAGTTAAGGAGTGAAAGCTACCGATACCGTTGAGATATACAATGAACTTAGAACACTTCGCAGTAGTGCATCAATTCATGTTGTCACATCTTAGTAGTACAAAACGAGGTAACAAAGAGAGGAAATACTTCAGAGTGAAACAAAATAACGGTGTGAGCAGCCACAAAAAGTAAATATAATGTAATTTTTCACGTTTCGAAAGAAACACTTAATTTGCACTATTAAGATTGATTTCTAAACACTTCATCTCATAATACAGCAGTCTTCGAAAATTTTGCAAGGAAAGTTAGGAAGATTATTCCCCTACACAAAGCTTATAATGAATCAGTGACTGCATGATCGATTTCGCCACCATGAGTTCTCTCTGACCTACTCTTAGTTAACTTCTATCACACGCTGAATTACACAGTGGTGCGGTATGTGGAAATTACGTCTCAAACAATTTAATAGATGCAGGTTCAAAACCATACAAATCAAGTTATTGGTCCAAAACTTTCCGCATAAATTCGACACGACTAAAGCGATAACTACATTATACACAAATAGTACATAAGGGATTCTATGACTTTATGCCTTCAATTCAAGTTTAACACTTCTAACAGCTGGATAGTAGAATAAAAGACTTACATTTCACGATATACTCTTAATCAGGATCCACAAACCCCACAGGCATCAAAAGAGATGTTTGATGCCAAATGAAAACCCAACATTTTTTTGGCACACATGATATCTAACCAATGCAGATCAGCACATATAAACAGTTGCCAACCACTGTTAAATGCGACTGCAGCTTCTAATGGAGACGAAAGTGCTGGAAAACGAAACAGTAGTACCTAACAGTCGGTGGCAAACTCAACTCGACGCATGTTTATGTTCTAGGCTATGACCCATACCCGTTTTACTAGGGCCTGTGGTAATACTGTGTAGCCAGGCCAAAGAAGGCAGAAGAGGGTTCAAACGCAGGACCCATTGCTTGAAAGCCGAGTCCCTAAGGAAATATGCCACATCTCCAAAACAGTCGGTAAATGTCTAGACATATCACAGTAGGTGTTAATAAAACTTAATTAACTAGCAATATTTCTCAATAATTGGGCACGTAATCCTTTTCGAAGGGAGGATATTCAGACAACGTGTAAAATACCTTTACGGATAGATAAACCGACTCTTAGTTAACCTTTAACGATCAATCATCTAACAGTAATCTGAGCAACAGACCTAGACAGGCTTTCCAATATTTCCTGGTTAGAAACGTTGTGACCAGCCTCAAATAGATAGATAAAAAAGATTATTAAAGGTCCAAACTATTAGTTTGAATGGGTGAAACATAAGCTGGGGAGTGTGGTAGTTTTTAAAACGAATACTTCCTATTCATGAATTTGATTTTATAACTGTAGAACATGATGAGAAGTTATAGACAATATTCTCCGTACATATTTGACTTCGAATGCTTTTTGTTTGTTTACGGTAAGTTCCGTACAACACGAACACTAAAAAATGTGCAGCATGAAATGACAATGTTATAATGTAAAGAAAATGGAGGGAAAAGCTGATCAGAAAACGAGCAGAGGTCACATGATCTTCTGGACCTCAGCCAGGTTATGGTCCACCAACGAATGCGAGCTAAATATAACTCCCATTCAGCAAAACTCTACATAAATTATTTTAATCACTGATTTTTAAAGGAAGAGTGTTGGAAGAATTCAAGATATTCCAAACCTCGTTGGATGTGCATCAAATAACCTTTCACATTATACGATATCTTTGAGCAAGTGTATAGACCCCAAACATCAGCAATATTTCCCCATGTCAAGGTGATATCGAACTCCATCGACAGAGGTTTTATGACAGTGTGTCTCATGGAAAGGCGTGTCTAGTAAGCACACCGTGTTTCTGAGAGTCTGACACTCGAGCACTTATGATCATGCCAGACCATACGATGAGCTATTCTTCGGTTATGCTTTGTTTTTTATGAATTTTTATCCCGAAGCACTTATATCAAACATGTTTTTGGAGGTTATGATTACCATTCCTACCTTCTCATCAATCGACCCACCTAAACACACCTTTATTCGATTCAGATTTTACAAATAATTTTTTCGAGAGTAACGACCGAAAAAGAAGCACTCTCAGTAACCATGCACTAGGTAATGTATCATGCACTGTGAGGGATGGTGATACACCTGACTGATCAGACCTTAGTAGGAGGGAATGAGTTCCAACCAACAATCAGGTGATTCAAAGTCGAGGGTGCAGTTATGCCTGGTCCCATGTTGATCCTGATGTTGGGGAGGAGGACTTAGACCAGAGAGCCAGGTAAGCATTATTCTCGTCCTTGAACTTTGTTATACCTACACTATTTGTATAGATACCGACATGAACTCTAAACACGCATAGAGAATCGCTTAGTTATCCCAAAAGCAGTGTCACACGTACGACCACATTTGCCTTTAATAAACGCGTTTTAGAAATAAATGCACTCAACAGTTGGCCTCGCAAATAAATTATTTGTCCAGGAAAAAATGCTGTCGATTCTACTAAGAAGCGGTGCTCTTCCCATTAAGAATGCTACCAACATATCAGGATAACTAGGTGTGAAAAACAATACTCCACACCAATGATGAGTTTTAGGTCACTGACCACTTGAAATTAGTGAGAGTTAGTCGAAAAACTCCAAGAGTTGGAATGCAGAGGAACAAACCTTTCTTTGATAATTTTAATTGACGCCAGTTAATAACTGCTGGTCATCAACGAACCCAGTTTATAACTGTTTATATTAACGGCTACAGAGACGAATTGGAAAATGAAATAATTTAAGACTACAATCAGGAACAATAGAAGAGATGCTTACATAATATTTGGTAGCAAGATTATCTTAATGAACACCCTTTTAAGCCCTCCTTCTAGGTTTGGAAACTAGACTTGAGACAGGCATCTTGGCAGTGCGTAACTCCCTAAGCCAGTATATTTTTATCTGCACTAGAAATCAGAGGGGTTAAAATGAACCATGAAGATAAGCTTCAGCTACAATTTAACCAAATAAAACCTAAGTGCATGGCTGTTAATTACACATCGCACCTAGTTTCCCGATGACTTGACTTGGTCCTTGTACAGTGAGAACCAAGAGGAATCTACCCTTACCAAACGAGAAGGTAAACCCACTTCAAGGCCAGAAGAACCAAAATGACACGTAGTAATACATATTTACACTTCGCTAAGTTTCGTCACTGATTACAGCTTACGATTTGGATACACAAAGTTCAGGAGAACACATCATGACCACTTCTGGATCCCATAATCTCCCACCTAAAAATCTGAATCAGAATGTATCCCAAAAAGCAAAAAGAAACCTCAGTAATAATTAAGTCACAAGACAACATGCAAACAATAATTTTGAGATAAAACCACATCCACGAAACTGACTTACTTTAAAGAGGCACTCAGCTTCGATGTTTTCGCAATCATATCTTCCCATAGTCCCAAAGAGCTCTATGAGAAATGAAAAAATGGCGGCCTTTTCTCACCTTCAAGCTTGTGAGTTGAGAATTGAAACTAATAGGGCATTGTGAGGACTTAACAAACTGGTCATGCTTTAACCGCTCCTAAAAATATTTGGGGAGAAAGGCGTGTTTTTAAGACTGTCATCGCGCTGTTTTGTTTGACACTTACGAAATAACAGGTATGCCTATCTAGAAAGAAGTAAACTTACCATGATTACACCCGAAATCCCGCATTAAGTCAGTTTCAAAGTAACCGCTGCAACAAGTTGAATTATATTAGCGCATTATCTGCAAGTTCCATTCACACTTCAAACTTGGTACTTAAATAGTGTTAGTCTTAAAATAGACATGCTAGCCCTTCATATTATACTACGAAACTGCAGTTGGAATAACCTACTTTTAATTAAGAAAAGTGTTACAGTAAGTAGGGTGCTGTGCGGACGAAACCTATGAGATTCCATATTAGATTGTTTGTTTGGTGCCGCATACAGCGATACAGTACTGACTACTAGTCAGTGTTTCCTTCAGAACTCATTGTTCACATTCATATGAATCCAACGGAGGTAGACTCTACCATACTGCTCCAGTTTCACCATCACGTTATCGAAGCCTGTGATAAGCACGATTCTTCAAGCGACAATCTTCGGTTCTTTTCTATCCTTGTCCGACATCAGCGAGTCATTGCGTATGCCGAACTTTTGGATGCTATCATTCGCCAATCAGGGAAACTTAATGAGAGTCATTCGAAAAGACAGACATAGATGCGTACTTCAAACAGGTCTGGATGAACTGGTTAACTAGAACTAACGAATGTATCCAGAAACAAACTTTATGAAAATGCGGTACTACCTTCAGTTGCAGTGCTTGTCAATTGTGATTTAATGAAGCACTACTTCCAAAAATAGCTAAACTTAAGGCATTGAAAATGGCCGTCAACTGATGTATATGGACGTCTGATTACTTCAGAGCAACTGCAGTATATGTTCTCATCACGCTATTGTCTCTACGCAGAGCTTCCAAAATCTACCACTACGATTTATCCAGAGTTCTCCACCACACTTGATGGGCAGTGCCACATTAGATCAGTCACTTTAAGGTTCAATGAGAGAACTTATATGGTTGAGTGCATCCGAAAATTAGGTACTTTAGGTTATGCACACAGTTTACAACTTATACATTTTCTTATTTAAACATCCGTTTGAGTGAAACCCTTTAACCGTTGTTCTTCGGTCAGCAGTTCTTTGACGCACAGTCGAATTTTTTGCCAGGCTGTTATCTTTCACTCTCTATTTAACTCCCAAATACGTCGAACTGTGATGCCTAGAGGTGGCAAACTCCACGAAAGCCTTTACAATTGCAGAAGTTGATACTTTGGCAGCTACCGGAGCTCGGACACGGAAAGAAGTTGCCACATCACTTACAACTGACTCTTTAAGACGGATGCCGTATAACTGCGTAATCCCAAGAACCTTGCAAGCAACTTACACCGACCTCAGCTGAATGAATACATACCCCCTTGCTGTGACCCAACCCTCGTATCTACACAATGATGCCTTGATTTTCTATATCATTAATAGTAACACTTAATCTCTGTTATCACGTTTTACCTTTTTTCCCATTCTCCACTCACCCCATCTTTCGCATTACCTTTAGAAAGGTGCCTGTTACCTATCTAAAGGTACCTATGAAGCCAGGAACTGAAAAGATTCGTTTTTCCACTGGTAGATATCCTACTCATCGTTGCTGATCGATAATTGTTATCATGTTGACAACATTGAAAAATGGTTACGTTTTGTTCGATGTGGTTGGGCCCAGTTTCAAAACAAAAAGTGTTTCCTTCCGCACCATGGCGAGTGCTACTCTTCGCTGGCACTGAAAACGTCAATGAGTATCTAGACTGTATCACCTAGCTGGGAATCCGGCTTCGACACCAGCCATTTGGTGGAGAAATATGAACACTATGCAGGCTACATAGAACTTTTTGATCAGTTTTCTATCTGTGCTTCCTGGGTTTATGATATACGTACTTGCACCTTCCTCGTTGCTTACAGAAGATTGAATCTGGATAAGTGAAGCTGAAATACCACTTAAATGTTATGGTTTATCCATGTCTCAGTGTTCTAACCAGCAGTAGTCACATTTGTTTGGTCACGTCACCATAAGCTACACAGATGGATGCTTCCTAACAGGCGCATACAGCGAGATAAGATAGCCATATGACCTCAGTGAACTGTTTTTGGACTTAGGGGGAGATAGGAAGAGACGAGAGACTGATTATTTGTTATGAAAGCTGATGGGTGTTTCTCAGTTTAACTTCCGACGTCCAACATCAATGGTGCCAGCATAGTTGTGTGAAGTCTGCATGAAATTCTTCGCCTCTCTGATCTCATCCAGCAACATAGGTATAGCCAACAGTCAGTAGTTAGCTACGAATGTTTTTGGGCATAGGTGTATTCTTGTAAGTAAACATAATTAGGAAGTCATAATTCCACCAAGTCACACTTTCTTGTCCGGTATAGGAGCTAGGGTCTTAGATGATGAAGGACATAAATTTGGTTGTTCGCAACTGCGTTCTCGTCAGGTGTCATAATCACCCGAAGGGGAGTTTAGTTTTATGAGAGGGCGACTTCCTTTCTCTAACATGGCATTCGTCAAAGGGTACTTCTGAGTACTATTTTTTGGTCACTAGTTCCTTACGATTTACAGTTCCTGGAAGTAGTGGCCGGGTCTCTGCATATACTGCAGGGAGGAAAAATCCCAAGAAGCAGCGGATGAGATTTTTGAAGGACCGGGGTGGCCTGTTTTTAACTGCAAGATCACGAGTTAGGGATCCACCGAAGCATAAAAAGCAGAATCGGTTAGAAAAACTGAAGAAATTTCCAATGTCAGTAGGCACGCGAACCGACCAAAAGGTAGAGACATGAAATACTAATCACAATTCAAAGAGCTGAAAGAAATTCCAACAGACTTCATACATGATTCTGCTGAGATAGTGGGCCTATCACTCGTTTGGTCACTATGTGTACGTACTGGGCATGCTGGGACCCCTAAACGTGTAAGTTAGGGCCATCACCGACCCCAGGTACTTGTTCCCTAATGGGCTCTAACATTATTGCACGGGGCACTTGATTGCCATTCCACCAGCTTAAGTTTTGTAGTCAGTAAAATACGTACCATAGCATATGTCACCTTGATATAGCGTCAGTTTTCCCTGTACGTCTACAAGTAAACGCGATATATCCAAAAACGTGTGCGAATTTTACGTAGGAAAATCACAAGAGTCATTTTCATGTGTATAAATTAAAGTGTACATATAGCTCGAGCTTCTCTAAGAAGATAGGAACTTCTCTCCTCCTAATCCCGTCTTGCGTGGTATGTTAATCCTCGGTTTCTGCTCCTGCTTTCCTTTTCTTCGTCTCTTTTCGGCTTAAGTTTGAAGAGAAAACCTTGAGCGTAATTTTGATCCAAATGGTCAACCTACTTCCAGAAATTATTGAAGGAATCATTCAACTGATCTTCCCCTATTGATTTTCAACCTTCTGAAAAGTTCCACAGCAAACTCGCCCAGTTACCAACCTTCTAGGTGCAACCGTGTGCGAAAACCCAACCACAATAAATGATCCAAGGCTTCTGGACCGTCATAATGGCAGTGAAAATCTGGACAAACAACTAAGTCTGAGAAATAAACTCACCTAGTGGCTCAAAGTGAGACATGTTAGCAAACAGACATCTCCAGTACTTCATCTCATTTGACTCCTTAACATAGAAGACAATTAGCAGTCAACTGCCCCCCTTGATAATGCCGTATTCTTCAATGTGAATTCGATATGCGAAACTCCACCACCATCGGATAATTGCCCTTCAAATGTTTTTTTCTTTGTACAGGAACGACTTATTCCGATGGTTTATATCCGCATTGCCAAGTAAGGTCACGCTACGAGTGGGAAATGCGAGGACTTATGTATTCACGTGGATTATATGGTCATGCTAACACTTACTGCTACCTGAATCGATGAAGAGAGTTTTCACCGGCCAACGATACCACAAACATGTGAACTGGTTTCAAACTGAACGTTTGTCTGATGAAACACGGAATTATACCTCAAGGTTAACCACCTAGGTCAAATGTAACGCAAAGGTCGAATATTGTACGATTTCGGTATCAATTAGTTATGAAAAAAGAATGGTGAGTGGAGACAACCGAAACTCATAAACGATCTGTATGTACTGTGAAGTGACATTTTTCTGTTCTTATTATAGCCTGCAGTCATTTTTGATATCATGATAAGCCCTTATGCGATGCCTTCTATATCATTCAGGACAGCTCAACCACTGGAGATTTCTTTACCGTTATTAACTTGATGGTGCCTGTAAACTGGCTCCTCTCATGTTGAACTGTTGATTTGAAAATAAAATACTTATTTATTTATGGAATGAAGTTGAGGATGCATCGTAAGCTTGCGTCCAATCCAAGTAACCGAAGACTAGTTCCCTGAAGCCGCCGCCAGCATTGATCTCAAGGTTATTCATTCACAGATTACTCATCCTCCACGGCCCTTCAGTCCGAAGAACTTCGCTGCTTCTTCGCCCGTCTGTAGGAAATACAGTAAATACCGGACTGATTAGCGACCAGTAAGTTTCTTTAATTCCCTAAGTCCACTTGTAACAGATCACCGTCAGTTGAGCCTCTACTCAAAGAACAGAACTCTTTATCGCACGGGGTTCCGTAAATGCTTCACATAACTCTACAAATACGAAGCAGGGGCTATGAGAGAGAATACTGTTGTGAGAACGATGTGATTCCCTTTTTTGACGTCAGAGACCCAAAGTAGGATGGCATCGGGCTATCTCCATTGATGACTTCCATTTACTCTTCTTACAGGTTGTTTCCTGGAAGCATTCTCAGGGAACGAAAGCCTTCATGGGATATTCTTGAGTTGCAGCTAATTAAAAACTCATCAGGTGCTGGTGGTGAGGGTGGTAGGCACGGGGCAAGACGAACAGACATCATCGCTGAGACTAATGATGAATGCAGTGTTCAGAGGAGGCAAGTCACCATGGTTTATGAGATTACTCGCCTCACGAAAAGCCGAGATTGTGCGGTGCGCCTCCTATTTAAGGAAGGCTTCATGGTAAAAAAATCGGATGATATCCGGAGGATTACTTTTCCATCTCCCTTGTGCTTAAGAAAACACAATTAGTTCATTGGCGG